ATCCCCAGCAGTGTTCAAGACCAGGCTGGACAGGGCTTGAAGCAACCTGGTCTAGTGTGAGGCGTCTCTGCCCCCGGCAGCAGGATTGGAACTATATAATCTTAAGGTCTTTCCAGCCCTAATCATTCTATGATTCTATGATTTAAAGTTAAACAAGCTGTTAAGATGTAAGGATATGCTCTAACGATGCCAGAAATTCTTATTTCAGTATTGTTGAATTTTATATTCATCTTCACTTACATTAGTAGATAAGTTATTTGATCCAAATAAATCAGATTTTTTTAGTACTCTGCCTTCATCCACTATTTTTTGGCCAGCAATAAAACAAACCAAACCTAAATCAGGACGGGGAGAGGAAGTAGCTCTGGATTCCAGCTGTGAGGTAAACCATTGTGCAGAGGAGTTTTACTAGGTACTTATGATGATGACTTGCTTCACAGCTCAGGTGATCTTTTTAGGAGTCACTGCAGTACCAGTGATAACTAATCATTACCATAAAATGCAAACGAGGCATATTAAACTGGCTTTCTGTGAAATACAAGCCTGGTGAGGTTAATTTTGTGCATCTGCTGGATTCTGCATTGTGCAAGGGGCTGGCAGTGCTGCAGCAGCACACTGCCCTCATCTGGGGCCCTGTTAGTCACAACCACCGCTCCGCCACAGCAGGCTCTCAATGCAGTATTTTCTTTCATTTGTTTTCAGTGGGTTTTTTCCCCCACTTAAAAAAAAAAAAAAAATCAAAGAAACAAACAAACAAAAAAAAAAAAAAACCCACAAAAAAAAAAAAAAAACCCAGCCCACAACAAAAAAAAATACCAAAACCCTGAAAGCAGGAGGTATGAAAAGGCCAGATGTTTCGTATCATTATTTGGGTCCCCTCTGGGGAGAAAAGAGTATGAAGACTCCTCAGTGTTGCAGGCTGAAGCCTAGTTAAGTAAATGGTAAATAATTTCAGGGGTTGGTTCCTAATTCTGTTGTGTGAGCAGAGGCGATGGTAAAAATCTTCTTTACAGGATCTGCACCCAATTAGTAGCAGTGACATAGCTGAAAAATTCTCATGGGGTTCCAGTTATACTGCTTTTATATACAATTTTTCTGCAGACAAGTTGGAAAAAGGCCTGTACTTTGAAGGAAAAAGGCATTTTTTATAGTGATGTCACTGCATCTGAAGGATGGACTGCAGGTTTTTATCTTATTTTTAAATAAAACGGTTACTCTAGTTGAGAAACTACTTATAGCACAGACTGGCCTCCCAGCAGAACATCCTTATGCTCCTGTTGTTGGGTAAACTGATTGAAACTTCCTGAAAAAAATATGCGTTTAACTCTTTTTAAATCTTTGGCAGGATTGACTCAACATTTAGTTACAGACTACAAGCAAGTTGTAGAACTTCTAGAAGAAGGAATAGCTAAAAGGTATTTTAAAACAAACCAGCTCCATCTTTATTTGACGCTTCTTTCACCATGTGTTGGTTTCATTGATGTTTGTTTTACTGACTGTTGCCAATGCTTTTCATGACAGTGTGCCAGGTTTGCTGCTTATGACGTGCACATAAGAGGTTACATATCCTCATATTATTCCAAGTAAGAGCTACAAGTACTCATGAAGTTGTTCCTTCAAAACTGAAAAAGCCCCATGCTGACTTACCCAGAAAATTCAGCCAACTGTCTGGGATAAAAATGCATGAAAGGAAAACGTTCTGCTGTAAAGAGACCAGGTTTTCTTCTCCACTTGCTCGTGACTCTTTAGACTGTTTGCCTTTCAACTCACTTGTTAGTGTAACTTAGTGATTTAATATTGCTGAAAAGACAGTTTGTTTTTATTTAATTTATACAAGTATTTGTTTTGTAATAATTTGGTTTGATTTTTATAAGTGTTTTTTTAAGTTCTTAGTACAAGTCATGCACACTTGCTATGAGACAACTGTGGAAATTACATACTGATGAAGCCAATGATTTCAGCTCTTGTTAGTTAAGACACTTTTTTACTTTCCCAACAGGGAGCCTTGGATATCAGTCCAACTGCTGTAATGGTGAGGGATAAGAGTTATATTTGAAAGGATCCTCCAAATACAAATCATAGTTCCAAAATCATATCATAAGAGAGGTCAAGATTTTACAATATCGATGTTGCTGGGAAGTAAATTGAGACTAAGCTGCATTATCACAAAAACAGAATATACAGCAGGATTGCATTTTGCTGCTTCTGCTTGTAGCAATCAATAGATGCAACTCTATAGTAAGAAGAGACATTTTCAGAACAACAACAAAATTCCAAGTTGTCTCATTGCTAAGGAAATAGAAGACAGAGAGAAAACAAAGTCAGAGGTTTGATATTTTGTGTGGGTTTGTGATGCTGAAGTTTCAAACTTTATCACTTGCATGAAACCAAGGAGTGTTGTGTTTTTCTGAGGAACATTCTAAGAACTGATTTGGAATATATAGGAAACTGCTGTTTGCCTATAGTCTTTATGAAATACAATAGCAGAGTATTTATTAACACATTGTAAATACAAACAAACTAATTCAAACCATTTGCAGTCTGAGAAATTATGCCAAATGGACGTGATGGCTCCAGGTCTGACTATACTGGAAAGGTACAGGGTGGGAAGCTCTGCTTGAACATGGGTGGTGCCTTTCATGGGTGAGAGGGCAGCTCCTGTACTAACAACAAGCAGAGTTTACTGAAGGCATATTTTCAACCAGTTGGTTTTATCAGGCCATCTCCAGCCCTGTTCTGGCTGCACCTGTCCATTATAAAATAAATAAATATGGTTTTCAACAGGCAGTCATTATTTTTGTTGTTACTCATAGTGCTATTATTTCTTTCTCTTAACACTTTACAAGACTTAGTCTCAAATGCTGAAGAAAAAAATTTAAAATGCAGGAAATACCAATTTCCAAATTTCCATAAGCATAATCCTGGTGCTGTGTCAATAACCAATGAATCTAGATAATACTATTAAAACAGGTAAAAAATTTTGCAATGTACACCACATGCCGTGATGAAATATAACATATAAAAAACTAGCACATACATTTTGCCATAAAAATGCTCACATGGGTTGTGATTAGTTGAGATATAAACTTGGCCTCCAATTATGAGTATTGTCAGAGGTAAGAAGTGAGTATTAACGCTTCCTCCTCCAAATCCTGGTGCGCTTTCTATTTCCCTTTTGCTTTATAAACTTCAGTGCTGTTCCCTTATATTCTCTGCCTACTGTAGAGTTGTGTTTTGTCGTCTGCCCTTTACCTAATTGTTTGCCTTTCTCCTCCAACATCTGGAGACTAGTTCATGTTCTCCAGCTTCCTCAGCTTAGACTAATGTATGACCATGATGCACTAGACTGCCTTGTAGCTTTTGGCAGTGCCTGATCACAAGGCAGTGAAAGTGTAGGAAGCAGAGCGCAACAGGGAGAAGAGTCCAGGTTTTGGCCTCCTGTGTCTGATGCTCAGCAGCATACACACAGCTGCAAGCTCTCTACTGTCTAGTGCAACCGGGTCACTGCAGGACTCTTGACAGCTGGGTTCAGTACAAAAACATGGTTCCACAGTCCTTGTCTGCACTACTGACGTTGCCTGCTGTTGTTGAGGGTAAGCTTGGCAAAACTGATACTAAAGGTTGCACATACAGCTGATATCCAAGCCAAGCTACGAAGTGACAAAGGAAAAGACCTGTCATCTGGCTTCTGCCCTAGGCAAAACCCTGCTTTCTTTGGTTTTTTGTAATCAGAACTATAATGAAAGTAGAATTTCCAAAAACCTGTGTTACAGAGGCAGTGGGAGAATGCTGCTGCTGCTGCTCCACCCGTGCCTGGTACCTGCTAGCCAGAGTGCAGTGGGTTAAAGGGTTAATGTTTCGTGACTGGTCTGTCCACATGGTAAAGCCAAGCAAGTGGTACACGAGAGAATTACAGAATTCATTTGGAACTCATACAGGTAGACTGGCTAACCTCATTGGACTCCTTTAACAGCATAAAACTACTGTATCGGCCCTGTGTCAGAAGGGACCCACAGAAGTCATATATGAAGCTTTCTGGACTCTTTGAAATGACAAGAAATAAAAATGGGGACAATATGGAGAAAATGTACTGGGCCAGTATATTCAGTGGTGTTGGGGATGAGCTGTATGATGCTGTTGCTGCCTGTACTTTGCTACGTTCTACCTTACACCTGTGCTGTAAGGGCACTTTAAGATACTTCTTCAGAGTGCTGCTGGTGGACAAAAGCACCTCTAACTGACCCTCAGTTTCCACCCTTACAGGTCCTCTGCCAAATACACTGTGATCAGATCCAAGAATACAACCTACCATAGTCTCCAAGTTTCACATTCCTTCTTCTTAATTTCTGCTGTATTTGTTATTTTTGCTTTCCCTGAATACAGGGAAATAAACCTTTGTAATTGAGTGGTTTGTTCTTCTTTCTAGAATCACAGCAGCTACACATATTCACAATGCTAGCAGCAGATCCCATGCTATCTTCACCATCCACTACACTCAGGTTAGCTAAAAATAATCCAGCTTCCTTTTCTCTTTGCTCTCAAAAAGCATTGTTGAATGTGTTGTGCATTGTTTACTTCTCACTGTTTTGCGCTGTTTGTAATAATCTCAGTAGAAGCTGTTACTTATTTCCTTTGGATCACACTGCAGATGTGTTACACTTCCTAGACTGCTTGATGTGCTGAGTGTTTACTGAGGTATTCTTGTTCCTTTATGCAAGCTTATAGTCAGAAGTGATGCCAAAGACTTCCTGTAAAAAGAAACCTTTAGAGTTTTAATCGGCCATTTGAAATGTAATACCCATTCTGGGATGCTGTGAAAATTACACATGGATACATTTGATGTTACGTTTAGGATCCTTAGTTAAAAGTACAGCATTAGTTTAACACTTACCAAAATCTTATATCTGTCCAGCTTTTCAGATGTGCTCATCTCTTTAGCATTTGGCATCCACTATGCTCCCAGAGACAATGCACCCTTTCTCTGGAGGAATTATATCCTTCCCTGGCAGGGAAGTCGTCCAGTGATCCAATAGACCTTTTCTATCTCACACTTCTAACATCCTGTAATCACAGAACATTTTGGGCTATTTTTCAGTAGTTTCACAAAAGACCTTTGGAATACATTAGTGGAAAATAACTGCAAGATCTGCAAGAAAGCCTTTCACAGTCGCTAGGCAGTAAAGCTTTTTTCCAAGAGGAAGTTGGTGTAAGAGAGCAGTTTCTCTGTTGGGTGAGAAAGCTGTTGAGTTAATGGTTTGAGTATAGTCAGTGGGTCAAGGTCCCAAAGAAAGGCAGTGAGACAGTCATGTACAACTCCGTTTCAAACAAAAGAGCACATTTATTTTATTTTCATTAATTAATTAAGAGGATTAATCTTCCTTATTTACATTTTTGTCTTTAGGCTATATTGGAGAACAATCTCCCCTCTGAAATTGCAAGCAAGATCAATTTAGTGGACCTTGCAGGCAGGTAATTAACATGCTGAAGGGCAAACAGGTAATTTTCTCTGAAGATGGTACTGCATAAAAGATGAAATTTAATATTTTAGAACTTCATTGAACTAAAAATAAGCCTGACTTTTGTGTACAATAACAAGGAATATTGAACTACTATTGTCTCTGTCATCTGTTCTTATGTATTTGGTACTGGAGTTCATTGGGGAAGGGAATTCCTGGGTCTTAAATCCAATACTGTGCTGTTACACACATTTGAGTAATTCCATTCAACCCTGTATTCTTGTTAAGTGGATATTCTGGTAGCTATTGGTGGAATTATCAAATCTGAGCTTCAAAAGAGAGGAAAGGGGTAATGGCTTTAAACTTAAACAGGGGAAGTTTAGGTTAGATATAAGGAAGAAGTTTCTGTTTTCTTTTATGTCAGGAAAATGCATAATGATTTCATAATGATTGTATGTTAATAATTAAGCATTTTTGTTTGGTTTGCATTGTCTTTTTCATGCTTGTGTACTACAGTGAAAGAGCTGATCCCAGTTACTGTAAAGATCGTATTACTGAAGGTGCCAATATTAACAAGTCATTAGTTACACTTGGAATTGTCATCTCCACTTTAGGTAAGCACAGTAGTTCTCTATATTGAAGGGTAGTGATAAAAGCCTAGGACTCCCTCACCATGTGCTGTGTCTTAATGTTTCTCTATATTTACAACAAAAAGCTGAACAGAACAGCTGTGTGGCATCTTCATAAACTGTAATGACATCTAAGAAAATTAAATAGAAAAAGGTAACTCTTTTCCTGAGCTCTGTGGTATTTCTCCTTCAGCACAAAATTCACAGATGTTCAGCAGCTGCCAGAGCATAAACACCATAACAAGTGAAGGGGACAGCAGTCATGCAGACAGTCCTTCCACAAGCAGCGTCAGTGGGACCAGGCGACCGGCTTACATCCCGTACCGTGACTCCATCCTCACCTGGCTTCTGAAGGACAGCCTGGGAGGCAACTCCAAGACCATTATGGTTGCCAGTGAGTTTGGTTTCTATTCACTCTTAACATTCTGCAGTACGTTACCCCCTTAAAATACGTCTCTACTCCAGTGAGAAGACAGGTGTATCACTTAGGATCCGTCCTTCTAAAGTTTTTCATCAGTACTTCATAGGATACTCAGGGAAATGAGAAGGCATGCTGATTGTACATGAATTTAAGCTTAAGAGTCTTTTCAAGGTCATAGCTTTGTTTTAAAGTGTGTTATTCAGCTATAAACACAGTCTTGAGAGGACATTTTCCATGAGCTTGATGAAATATCCCTGAGGTTATTCTTGGGTTCGTTTTTTAAAAAAGCAAGACTAAAAAAATCTACCTTTTTCAAAAGTGATGGGTTAAACTGGTTATTCTTTAAAATATTGTTTATTTTCTATTTGTTTTCTATGTGTAGCTATCTCTCCTGCCAGCTCCAGCTACAACGAGACCATGAATACCTTGAGATATGCTTCAAATGCCAAAAATATTATTAACAAGCCCAGAGTGAATGAGGTGAGGCCTTGAGTTCTGCTCTTCATTCTTGTTCTATTTTGTTCTGTGTATTATTTCAGTCTTACTTGGTATATTTGCACTCTCAGTAAGATTCATACACCTTTTTCCCATGTTAGTGGAAGCTAAATAGGAGCCTGGACATTATAGAAAGCCCATGATATCCCCTTGACACCATCCCTCCAGCTAGTTGCTAGTTGCCGCCTTCTCCTCACTGCAAACCAACCTGAGCCAAACTGTCAGTGGCAGCCAAGAGAAAGTTGACTCTTTGTCTCAAGAGTTTCCCTGAACTGTCTGCAAAAAGCTGATCTCCAGAAACTGCCTGTGCAGAGATGATTACTCTGAAAGTGAGATAAATGCCTCCACATGAGCTGGCAGGAAATGCTTTGTGTATCAACTGGAAGGGCTTTTATTACCATAGTTGGTGACATTCTCACTTAGTCTCCTCTAGTCTAGTTCTCTCCTCTGCATGGCAGGAATAACAGCATTTTTCTGACCTGATGGGACTGTTTTGAAGATAAATTCATAAAAGTAGTGATGTATCCAGCTATTGTTATAATGGGAGCAAATATGGTATGTCTGTGTTCAGAGAAGAGATGAACAAAGTTTATGGCAAAAAACACCTATCAAAGATGGGAACCACCTGTCCCTAGGCAGTATATTCCAGGGGCCTGGTGGAGCGGATGCTACTTGAGTATGCCTACTCTTCTCTCCTCCCAGCTCTTGGAACAGCTTTGCATTAACTTCTTTAGCTAGAATATTTAAAGAATGATTTTTCCAACATCTGTCTCTTAATGTTTCAGGATGCAAATGTAAAACTGATCAGAGAACTACGAGAAGAAATTGATAGGTTGAAAACTATGCTGATGAGCTTTGAACTGGTATGTATGAACACTTCCTAATTGTAGCTCTAATTGAACTTCAGGGAGCTACAGTAGCTTACTTTGTCTTATCTGCTTATCTTTCCATGTTTATTGTAATTGGAGAGAAATGAAACTGTTCTCTACGATTTCACAATGTTTATAAGGCTAACTTCATTTCTGTCAGTTTTCCTTTTTCTGGCATTATACTGATAATCCTGAAATAAAAGCAGTTGTGTAATGATTAGGAAGGATTTTCTTGCCTGTCTTTCATGAAGTCAGACGGTCTTGTTGTCCAAAAATATCATTTGTATTTGCAGGGATATGGAAGCACCAAGACAGTACAAAATATTCAGCTTTGATGTGATTTCCCTGCCAGACTTGTTACAATCCTCCTTCTCAAAAAAAGTGAACTAACAGACCTCAACAGTACTTTGGAGGTTTTGCTCTTTCTACGTATTCTGTCCCTCAAAGAAAGTTGTGAACATCTGTGAGCCCTCACGATACAGTTGGCACGCTTTATGCTTTTCTCCTTTGGAATAATAATAAGAGCATCCTTGTTTTCCATGCCATGGGAAAGCATGTTTTGCTGGGAGAGACTGGAACTAGAATCCAGGGTATACTTACAGAGAAATATCTCTCCTTCAAAGCTCTTTCACCAGTTTTTCAAAGAACTTTGCATGCCATACCTAGAGAGGTGTAGGCCAGATGCTAGAAGGCAGCACCAAACATTTGTGTATTTTGTCTTTCCTTCTGCTGAAATCATGTCCTTGAAATCCTGGAATGAAAGAACATGCCTACCGGTTGTGGATAAGGAAACTAACATGTATATCTTGGTGGCTGTTGTTTGTACAGAGGAATTCCAGTCCTTCTTGGAGTGATGACAGGGATGGAAATCTGACTGAGCTGGTTCTTCAGAATGAAATGAAGGTGTGTATGAACTGTTTGATGCTGTAACTCTCTTGCTTCAGTGGTCCAGTGGGGGAAAGTATTGCTATACTTTTGAAACCACAATGAAAACATTTTTGTCCTAATTCTTTCCTGTTTGCTCTGAATATGCAGGCAACTGCCACCCTTAATGCACGTTGGGTGCTCTCTACCAATTTGTTGTGGAAGTCTTACGTCTTTAACGTGACACTGTCCACCGCATATCACTAAGTCTGCACATTCTACTCCATGTTTGAAAACTGTCTTGACTTATCACAGTAATTAATTATACAGAGCTCCTCTCTTCTAAGATTAAAGTCCTCCAATTTATCCAAAGAAAATTATTGTGCAGTCACCAAATCAATAAGATTTGATCACTGGTGACCTGGAAAGGTTTTGGAAATCTTAATTTCAAGATTTGCTTAAAGACAGGCAAAATAACTAGTTAGCATGATCATACATCTTTCTTACATTCTGGGAATGAGTTTCAATAGATTAAAACTGCTTCACTAGGTGGTAGTACAGTTTTTACCTGATTTTTTTGTTGCCACAGAAATGCACTGCAATTATAAACAAACCTGCATTGCTACTGGTGAAAGAATTTTGCATCCAGTAACTGAAAAAAAAAAATGCTGTTCTGAAGAAATTTTTGTATGAGAAAAATTAGCCTGCCTTGTAAGTGAAATAGTTTCCTCTTCTATTCTTTAAGATTGAGCAATTGACCAAAGACTGGACAAGCAAGTGGACAGACATGAAAGCCATCATGGAAGAATACAGTGTGGATATCAACAAAAAAAAAGCTGGAGTAACAATAGATTCTAGTTTACCTCATCTAATGGCCATGGATGATGATATCCTCAGCACAGGAGTGGTGCTGTATCATCTCAGGGTGAGATATTGAGGTCATTAGCAAAAAATGTGTTAAATACAGTTGAAAATCGTGTATCTGATTCTATGATCTGTCTACTAATACAATATCTTAATCCAAATCTAGGTTTTGTGCTACTAGATATAGTTTAGGGATAAGGGATTTTTTTTCCTATTTGAAACAGAAATCATGTTATTCTTTATCATGTTGAAAGAGAAGCCTTACTAATTTTTCTTATGCCAGCACAAAGAAATCATACCAGGTAATAAGTAGGGACCAAGAAATAATACTAGCGCTGATCAACATGCAACTTGAACTACTCAAATCCTACATTAACATTAAATATTTATTACAAGTAATTACTGCTACTTAAATGTTTTTCCATTATGTTCCATTTTGGAAGCAACAAGTATTTTCACATGCTAATTTTGACAACACCTTAAGTAATTTACAGATACTTATTTTAATGGAGAAACCTCATTTGAAGGGTCACCTTCTGAAGTCATTAGTGTCTGTCTGTCACACTAACATCTTTGTCCCCTCTTTCTTTGCTCCTAGATGCTGCCTTTTCTTTTCTTTGTGCTTTGCATCTTTTAGACTCTGGTGTCTATTACCTTCATCTGAACAGCAAGAAGGTAAAACATTAGTGGTTCCTTACATATTAGGGCTTGAGCATATAACAGTACTTCACATTGCACTTCCAGAAAGAAGTCATGGCAGCAGGTTTCAGATCATATAGAATAAATATTTTCTTACCTGTATAGTCTTTTGATGTGCCTTAATTACACTAATCAATGCTGTGCCTATGCTTAAAGAACCCTTCTTAGGTCTGTTCTTTTTTTCTGGCTTCCATTAACAAAAACATATACTTTCCCTGTAATTTCACTGAGCTTTTTGCATAGCTTAAAAATATGGGATTTGTTTTAGGAAGAGATGTACTGCAAAAATCTTTTTGAAAGTTGGAGTATTCCCAAAACTGAAGGGGGAAAGTAGTTTCAGTCCTTATGGTTTTATAATGTGCCTTGGGATTTCCACACACTAGTCAGGAAACACTGCAGAAGGGAACAATGTAAAAGCACTTCAAAAGATCTGAAGATGTACCTCAATAAGCTAAGATGAAGTTGTGAGTTTACGTCATCTGAATTGTCTTTCACTTTTGCAGGTAGAATACTCAATATTAAATTAGGAAAGAGTATAAGTATTTAAATTATTAGCTCAGTAATAGCATTTGAAAAAATTAAATCAATGTGGACCTGGGTTATGGCTGGTTTTGTTTTGTTTTCTTCTTTAAGCTGAGTTAGTTTGCTTGTATCATATCTATTCACTTGTTCTCAGCTGCAATTTTTAATTGTACTTAAACTCACACAGAATCACTCCAGTAACTGGGATACTATTGTGAATTTCATGAGCCAATACTGCTGTAAAACTTTTCTGAATTAAATTGTGTTATTGGAGAGTTATTTCATTACATTGGGAAAAAAGTTTCTTTTGGAATTACAATAAATATTTCTTTGCTTAGTCAAGAAGATAATTGATAAAGAAAACTTTTAGGAGTTGGTTTACTTCTCTTTGTTTAAAATACGTGTTGTTAACTCACCTGATTGTGTGAGATGAGACAAAGGCAGTATGGATTGTAAGTTTCCTACAAGTTGTGGCCAAGCCAGGTGGGTATTCTGTGGTTGAGTCCACTGAACATTAAGCTGATACCAAACTTGATAATTACTCCAAAACAGGGTCACAATCCAGATTTCAGTCTCTCTGGCAAGGGTTTTTCAGCAGGGCTTGTATTACAAGGGGTCTGTTAGTTGGTTCAGAGAGCTGAGCTCTGTGAGGAACTGAATGATAATCATTCTC